CCTACTTTCTCATACTCTCTACTCCCGGTCTGGTGAACGCTGGTGGACGCTGGTAGACGCTGGCAGACGCTAGATCGATATCTATACTTTCCTAGTCGCTGACGCTGCCGGACGCTCGGAACGCTGGTGGACGCTGCCGCAAAGTATGAACGCAGCCTGACATACACATACCGAAGCCAAGCCCGAAGTAGCATCCAAGGAACACATAGCTTTTCTGTGGTGGCATTCCTACTAGTGAGAGCAGTGTGATTAGAGAATCACCTTCGCCATAAATTGGTCCCATCACCGTGATCTCACCCTGGAAATGGTTAGTTGTAGCCTGGGCCTTACAGTCATCCATGCTCCCTGAAATTTTTGTCTGAGGCTTTCATGGGTGAGTATTGTTGCTTACGTAAGTCTAGGATACTCCTTTGAAGGTCTGAATCGTGCCAGGTTGCCGTACGGAATGATGTTTTGTAGCGGACCCATCGACGATGTTTTCAACGAAGCGGTAATCCTATCTTTTATCACAATCCGTAAGTTGCCCACTAGTATTACTGTTTCCTAATTTGGTACGTTTCGCGATTATCGTAGTGAGACTGCTCCATTCTATCACTTGAATGGTAGGATTCATCTTTATCCAGCTCCACAACTGCAAAAGCTGTACCATTTTTGAGGCTCAGTTAAGTGACGAGGGCGCTGAGACGTCATTCGCCATAGTAACCCCACCCACCAGTTGATGATCACACCCTGAGATGAGCAGCGTTGTGCTCGTATCTGTACACAGCCTCTATCACATCGTGTAACAATGTGTCTGTCGCCTGTCCCGTTTTGCCCATCCCTTGTCTCTGGTCTCTCGCCTGCTCTCACAGTGCCCCCACGTCTCGGTCAATGCCACATTGTGGCTAACTAAGTATCGGAGGTTAGGAGCAGATGGAACGATGCCTGATTTTACTTGTTACTCTCAGGATGGCATCAGGGGGGGGGGGGGGGGGGGGGGGGGGGGGGGGGGGGGGGGGGGGGGGGGGGGGGGGGGGGGGGGGGGGGGTGTGACAAGTGTACCCAGTTCTTAAACATGCAAACGGACAACGATTGCGTTTTGCTCACACTGAGCTCGAGAACAGTTGGCTCCTTTTCAAATATTGATGCTGTATGAGTGAGTAATGACATGAAGACGTCCATCTTGACAAATGGTTTCGGTCCATCCGGGTAGTAGTTCATGATGTAGGACCAGATGTTTTTCGCGAATAGCTCTGAAGCGATCAGTAGTTGATTACGACTATATATAAAGAGCCAACGTAGTTGGGGAAAAGGAACCACTCGGTTGCGCTTCTGTATTCTTCCCAAAAAAGGTTTAGACTTGAAGGCATGTCGATAAACATTGAACGACTGTAGATGCAGTACTTCAAAAAGTGAAAATTTGCAAGAACTCCGGTGAAAGCTGAACACTTAGGCCCATATGCACCCCTTCGGCATGCCAGCCTCCAGTGGCTGCTGTCTACTAGCTAGTAGCCACTATACTATCTCTCTCCATTCCGAATGGTGAGAGTGAGGTGATACGATAAAAGAGCTGATATCTTATGATAACGACAAGCGGGAATTCGTAAACACACGAGTCCTGCTCACTATATGCATGGGGGAGACGGGCAAGAGGAATCGTAATTTGCCGCTCCGCCGCGCGCGGCGATGGGCGCGGCGTTTTCTTAACTCGTGTTAACCTGTCGACTGGAGCACCGGACTTCATGTAGACCCCGTCATCGTACATTCATGACTATTTTCGGTTCTGAATTGCCTGTTGTCGCCATCTACTACCTGGAACCATCGTCATTTGCGGGCGCGACGTCGCACGCGACGCCCCCAGCGCGGCGAATTACGATTCTCTTGTCACATACCCGTATACACGTACAAGCTGGCAGCGTTAAGGGATCCTATATAGGACACTTTGGACGGTTTTTTTCGCTTTATTCTTCACTTTCAGTTGCTCACTAATCTGTTGTTCATATTTGAACACGATTACGCACCACGATCGCGGGCCTCTTTAGAGCGCAGAAGGTCAGAGGATTAGCCCTATAGAGAAGGACATAGCCTCCCCAAGCCTGAGCCTCAGTCGGGGGAAGGAATACAGAGGCGTGGAGCCTACCGTAAGCCTGAGCCTTTATTCAGGAGGAAGTATACCGAGGCGTGACCGAGTGGCCCCACCTACTGATTGGCGTCATAACGTTTTGTTTCCAAAACTCGACCTACCATACGACATATTTTGCAGGGTTATTCCGCCTGTTAATTCGATTGACGTTACCTGGAAACGAGCATAGGTCTTTACATCCATCTCGCTCATGGCTTTCTTATACTCGTCAATGTTTTTTTTGATGTTGACTTCCAGCATAGTTTCAACCCGCACTACTTCCGCCTTCATTCAGAAGTGCTAATGATCGCACAGGTTCAAGATCAGTACCCTTTCTTGCACACCGTAGAAGCACGCAGAAACGGAGAGCTGCTTAGACCGCGTTCACAGACCCTAATTAGAACAATTCAGTCACGCCATTTACAATCATCAGATTATAGAAATGCCCTCTGCGACCCCCGCGCTCTACCGCCCTACCGGAGAGTGTTAGACTGTGCAACTGTGGAAGAACTCCTCTCTGGATGTGATTGAATTAGCTGTCGAAGCGGTTCAATGATACGGTCTAAGGCGCGCGACTGAATCGCTCGTATCGGGAAGTATATACACAGCCAAACTCTTCCGCGAACATTCCCTCTCTATTTCATGGCAATGGTTTTAGTACTAAAACATAGTTAACTTACGTGCAACTCATGCATCGTTGTATAGAAACGTTTAGGCTTCCCTGACCAAGCCTCTTAGCACAGGAGATCGCTCTTTTCTACAGGAAGAGGCTCCTACAGTGAATCTATTACAACAGTCCTCACCTGTAAGATGTTGCTTCGACGAATGAAAGATCTTGCGAACCTGTGTTACAGAAGGAAACACCGCAACCTACCTCCGGTTCATTGACGGACATCTTGAAGTGAAGCCTATGAACGCAATGAACCTCACCCCATCGGTCTCCTCGATAGTCAGTGTATCGACCTAGCAGCAAATTAACGTAAAACGCTGAGTAACAAAGCCGGTTGTTGGAAGTGCCGGTTGCGGTAGTGCCGGTTAGGGTATATTCCGTTCAGTTTTTAGCAAGAGATTGTTTCATAACAGATAGTCAGCAGAACTTTCGCAGTGGATCGAAGATCTTATGGTTAGTACCAGCAATGTCGCTACTATATGCCCTACTTCCCTTATCCCGTTTTTTTTTCGTGCTCTTTACAGTGGGATGTTGTCGCCTACAGCGTCATCGCGAAGTCTGAACCCTGCCTGATAGAACTGTTCCCATGAGTGCTCGAGCTTGATCGACCGTCACTTGATTCTGTAAAATTTTAACACTCACTCTCTTTGATTCTTTTATTTTCAATCAATGCTCTATATATATTGTATAGTACCACTCTTTTTGTTTTTTGCCGCTTTTACTTTTGTTTAGGCGTTTTCAAGTACTGCTGATTTTTGGTCTGTTGCTTTATTCTTGCACTCCTTATCCCTGAGCCAGGAAGTAAGGCGTAACAAGTTGAAACATGGCACGGAATAAGTTACTCGTGAACATTCAGTCTGGGAACAAACTGTCATCTTTGTTCTCTGTGGACAGGAAACACGGACAGCAGTTGTGTCAAATGAAAATATTCCACTCCTAGGAAGCAAGACCACCCTCAAATTAAATTTGAAGAACTCGCCCCGCCTACCCGATCTCAGGGATCTTGAGTATACCTATAGTCGAAATTCCCTGAGATCGGGTAGGCGTGGTCGCATTCTCCAACTTAACCTGAAGGTGTCTATGCTTCTGGTGGAATATTTCCATCTTGACACAACTGTTGTCGTGTCTCTGTCCACATAGAACAAGATGACAGTTGTCCCAGACTGGAATATTCCACGAGTAACCAATTCCGTGCGCCCGCCCTTCCTCTGTTCAAAATGTCACGCCTACTCTGGCTCAGGAGAAGGAGTGTAACTTATTTCATCACACATGACGTTGTCCCACTCGATGTAATAAATATAGACAACTGGTATCCTGAAGGGCCTTTTTCGGTCATGAAAAGCGTCGAAACGTAAACTATTTATTGAGTTAACGGAAATTATTACCTCAAAAGAAAAAAAAGCAATTAAGATTGTAGACTGTAAGATTTCAGATTCCACACTCATCAAGCTCCTTACTGCTGAGAATAACTGTGCTTTACAATTTTTGCTATAGTTTTAACAAAAACAGTAGTTGTTTCAACACATTCTCGACTATAAAAAGCAACACAGCTTCACTTATAATTTGATTAACTCTGTGGAAGGAGCTCTTTTCTGATAATAACTTCTAATATAACAAACTGTAGATCAATTGAAGAAAAAAAGGATTATCATGAATACAGTAAGTGGGGTTGGTGACAGACGGAGGTGTTCGAATAAAACAAAACAGAGTAATAGTGATATATGTGTAATCTCATAAGTTTCGCGAAGTGTTAGACAACCCAAGGGCAGCAAATGCTTGTTCCAAGAACTAATAGAATTCCATGTGGCAGATGATTTCTCGGTGGCAATCTGGGCCGTGGAACAAGATCGGCTTTAACGAGAAGTTCAGCTAATAATGCCGCTACATCAAGTGAACCCTTTCACGCCGCCAAAGTCGTGCGACGGCATTCCTATCCACTCTTTAATATTCTTTTTCTAAACACGAGATTTCAGCTAATATGTACTTTTCTTGAGAAAAGCCACTGTTTCCTCCTCTGTCTCCTAATATCTTTCGCGGGGTGATCCTTGTATTTTCCTAACCTATTTTTTTGCCCGTTTCTGGTGGCTCTTCCAGTACGATCGCTGTTTCTTTTGAAGGGCGCTGTAATCGATTCCAGTGACTCGTGTAGGATCACAACGCAAGTCTTCAGATCAGGATAAAGAGCTCCCCCAATGGGCCACCATGATGATGGACCTCTACGCTTCGTGCGCAGATCGACTAGGAAAAGGCTCTGACGACCTCTCTCGCTAAGCTTGCCGATAGGATCGAGGAGGTGAACACGCGCCAGAACGAAATATTGTCTCGTCTTGCAGCTCTTGAAGATTCTATTTCCGGATTACAGGTGTCGTGCTCTCTGGATCAAAAACTTCTCTATTCTACCATCGTTAAAGTGAAAGCAGATGGTGAGAAAATAGATGATAAACTTAAACGTATTACCTGGATCGGTATAGGGGAGCAGGGCGACGAGACTGCGACGAGGAGATTCGACATGGAGGCTTTGAGAGAAGTGATTTTCTCTTCAGGTGATGAGCAGCTCATAGAGGAGCTCTCCAAAGGAGGCATAACCGCCCGACGCTACCCACCTGAGAGGATAAAAAGTGCGAACGGCCGTGATCGTATCATCAAGATCGAGTTACCCTCACAGGCTCTACGGGACAAACTACTGCACCACATGCGGTCAGGACGTCAGAGTCTGACCAAGCGATTCGCGGATTCGTATGCCCGAGCTGGGTAGTATTTCGTCTGAGCGAGGCCACGGACTGTAGACGAGAGCAGATGATCTATTTATCCAAGAGTCATCAGTTTTTCTAGTGTTTCTATCGAGATGTGAAATCGAGCTCACCACAACAAAGTCAATGTCTAGGGACTCTGAACGCGATCTGTTCATAGGCTTCTCTCCTGTGCCAGCCGTGACCGGTCTAGTGAGTTGACATTATTATCTTCATTATTTAAGTGAAGAAAAGGAGGGGCTCGGAGGCTTTTGTGAAGATGTGAGTTATCTGACAGGATAGCTCATACATTCACTTCCATTGCTCCAGGTTCAAGACCCATTAAAACGTCACACACCAAAAAAAGCTGTTGTCCACCTCGTGTGCAGTTGTATTTACAAACGGTAATAGTGGTCAGAGTCTAGTTTTAATTTTCT